AATCATACTGGGACACGTGATTGGTTTAGAGTGCCTCATTTTATAGGAATATTATAAATACTATGTTTTTATCACTTTTTTTTTGTGTGAAATCCCACATTGGCCCCGATAAATAAACTGGGCCTGCACTGGACTAACATGAAATTTTAGTTTTCACCCAATAATTGAGTGTGTTGAGAAAGTGTCCACGAGGGCATTACTAGCATTTCTCTTTACTCACACTACTAGCAATTAAGATTTGATAGGCTGTGCTTGAAAGAAACATGAGAATGAGTACTTTTAGCACTGGTAATTACCTGTTGTCCATCTTGCTTCCAATTCTAGTTTAAATACCACAAATTCTCTGTGAAATGGCATGCACTACTTCATAGATAAACCGAAGTCCCCCCATTTTAATAAGATAAGACTTGAAAAAGTTTATAAAACGTGACACACTGCAACTTACAAGTCGGTTTTGTAAGGATGATTTTAGCCTAATATTTAATATAGTATAAGAGTTTATCTATTTGGGCCACCTACCATATTATCTACATATAAAATCCAATAGTGTTGAGCCTCAAGGGTGTAATGGAAAAAACTTAACTCCTACGATGAAAAGAGACAAGGCCAGAAAAATGTTCATAAAAAGTGGAATCTTTCACCTTACAAATTGGATTTGTAAAGATGAGTTTGACTCAATGATAGAATCAATTTAGTATCTAACCAAGAAATGCTGAAGATAGTACAAAGAAAATGGTAGAAGTACTGACTGTATTAAGAAATAGGCTAGAGTTCAAATGGGATCTAGCAGATTTAGTACAATAAAATGCATAAGCAGCAAAGCAAGAAGAAAACTAGTAGAGGCACTTTGAGAGGCCTTATCTCTCCTAGAAATCAGATCTATTCAATTCTTCCGTACCCCACAAATGATTGGGACTCAATCATTTATGGAATTATTCCTATAGCCTATTACCACTCAGCTGCTGCCAGCTGTCCCCTCCCATGTGCTTCTGCTAACAGAATTTGTCCTATTCTCTCTCTTTCTCTTTCCTACGTTTCCTCACATATTGCTTCCCATATCTACCAATTTCCCTCCCTTCAAAAACTTCCTTGACCTCAAGGAAGAAAACTGGAAATTCCTCTTTTAACTTTTTAGCCAACTCCCACGAATTCTCGAATTCTGGAAGATCTTTCCATTTCACCAAAACCTCCCAATCTCATTGATCATTCCTCCGGTAATCCATTCCTTTCTTAGGCACATGTTCCAAATACCAATCCTCATTCATACAATCTAGCAAGGGTTGGATTTTGGCAGAGGCACTAATAGCTTTTTTCAGCAAGGACACATGGAATACCGTGTGTACTCTAGCATCAGCAGGCAGCTTAAGCTTGTAAGCCACCTCTCCCACCCTTTTAATTACCTCATAAGGTCCATAAAATCTAGGACTAAGCTTCTGGTTCAGCCTTTTAGCTAAACTCTTCATTTTGTAAGGCTGGATTTTTAAGAAAACCTTATCTCCCACTTCATAGACCACCTCCCTCCTATGCTTGTTTGCTTGATTTCTCATCATATCTTGTGCTTTGAGTAACTACTCTTGCAGTTCCTTGATCATCAAGTTTCTCTCCATTGTCAATTTACTGATTTCATCAACTGCAGATCCAGGGGTGTCCCCTCTAATTAACACTGGAGGAGCCCTTCCATATAGTGCCTCAAATGGGGTGGTCTTTAGTGAGGCATGATAGTTGGTGTTATACCAATATTCTGCCCATGCTAACCACTTAGGCCATTGCTTAGGTTTGAGCCCTGTAACACACCTCAAATATGTCTCTAAGCACCTGTTGACTACCTCTGTTTGGCCATCAGATTGAGGATGGTAGGCACTGCTATATTTCAACTTAGTCCCAGCCAACTTAAATAGCTCTATCCAGAAATGGCTAAGAAAAACTTTGTCTCTGTCAGAAACTATGGAGCTTGGGAATCCATGCAATCTAACTACTTCTTGAAGGAAAACTTCAGCAACACTCTTGGCCGTATAAGGATGGCTAATTGGAAAGAAATGAGCATACTTAGAGAGTCTATCTACCACGACCATAACAGTGTCTACTCCATGTACCTTAGGTAAACCCCCTATAAAATCCATAGAAATATCACTCCATACTTGTGTGGGAATCGGCAAGGGCTGTAGTAATCCTCCAGGTGTTAAGGTTTGATACTTATTCCGTTGACACACTTCACAAGCCTGCACATATACTCTTGAATCCTCTTTCTCATACCCTCCCAATATACCACACTACTAATCCTTTTGTACGTCCTGAGATAACCAGAATGCCCTCCTACTGCTGTATCATGGAATTCATTCAGAATCCAACTAATTCTAGGGGATCCCTTAGGCAGCACTATTCTTCCTTCATAGTGCCCCTCATGTGTTCTGAAAGCTGTCTTGGCTATGTCTTCATCCCTCATCCTAATCTGGTGATAACCAGATTTTAAATCCAATTTGGAAAAGATGACCGCTCCTCCCAATTCATCTAATAACTCCTCAATGATGGGAATGGGAAATTTATTAGGTATAGTCACCTTGTTCAAAGCCCTATAATCTGTGCAGAATCTCCACCCTCTATCTTTTTTCTTTACTAACAGCACTGGGCTTGAAAAAGGACTGGTATTGTGCCTTATGATACCAGCCTGGAGCATTTCTCCTACAATTTTCTCTATTTCATTTTTTTGATAAAAAGGATACCTATAAGGCCTCAAGTTTGGAATGGCAGCATTAGGTTTCAGCAGAATAACATGGTCATGTTCTCTCTTGTGTGGCAGACCTTTGGGTAAATGACTTCCTCAAATTTCCCCAAAGTCTCATCCCACTCTATTAACTCAACATTCTTTTCTGCTGCAACAGTTTTCACAGTCTGCACATAGAATCCCATCCCCGCATCCTTCAAAGCTTTCCTCACCGCTTTCATAGAAACTTGTTGATTTCTTAATGTAGGATCTCCTTGAATACTATACTTCTGTCCACACCACTCCCACATCAAGCATAAATTTCCAAAGTTAGCCTCTATATTGCCCAAACTAGCTAACCAGTCCATACCTAGCACCATATCAGTCCCTCCTAACTCCATCAAGAAGAAATTCTGGCTGAATTCCACTCCTTGCAACCTGAAATTCAACTTTTCACACACCCCCTGAAATTTCACCTTCTCTCCATTCTCCACTTCAATTACATATGGTGGTGTTTCCACCAACTGTAATCCCAACATTTCCACTAGCCTAGCATCAATGAAATTGCTAGTTGCCCCAGAATCAATTAGTGTCAACAGTTCTCTTTCCTTAAATGTAGCCCAGACCTTGAATGATTTATTAGAAGTTAATCCTTTTTGACTCTGCAGGGAGAGTTGCAAAGTCCTGCATTCCTCCACTCCTCCCACCGAGTCTTCTGTTTGCACCCCTTTCCCTCCTGTTACCTCTTCCTCCTCACTGCTTTCCTCACATAATTTAAAACTCATATGCTTGAATTTGCATATGTGCTCCCTGTTCCATTTATCCCCACATTTGAAACACAACCCTTTCTTACTCCTTTCTTCTAATTCTGCAGGATTTAATCTCCCCCCTCTGAACTTCTCATTACCTCCTCCATTACTTTTCTCTCCCCCCCTCCTAGATCCTCCTACCTCTGCCGGATCCCTGATCTTAAAAGACCCTCCTCTGTCTCTCCATGAACTACCCTTCTTGTGGACCACCTCATTTTTTTTCTTCAATCAACAGGGCTCTATCCATCAAATCTGCTAAACTTTGACTCTCATGGAGTTTTAGTTCAGCTTGAATCTCCTCTTTCAGTCCATTCATGAAAATGGAGTCCAACATAATCCTTTCTTCCCTTCTCAAAGGAGCTACAAGCATTTTGAATTTCTCCATATACTCCACCACCGATCCTTTTTGTCTTAAACTCAACAAAGGCCCCATCGGGTTATGCAGCAGACCCGGTTGAAACCTCCTCATCACAGCCACCTTGAACTCCTCCCATGTCCTCAGTGGGGCTTGCTCCTCCCACCACTGGTACCAATTCAAAGCCTTGTCCTCCATAGCCAACACTACCGCGTCTAGTTTGTCGCACATCCTTACACCACTCAAAGGAAGTATCTCTCGACCCGCACGAGCCAACCATACGCGTCCTCTCCCTTGAAAATGGGAATCTCCAGCTTCCTTCTGCTCCCCATGGTTCGCCCTCCTTCGCCACCCATGTAACGCCGATTTCTGGTTCGAGATCCTTGCGAACGGTCACTCCTTCTGCTCCCCTCATCTTCATCGTCGTCGGATCCTCTGTGGTGACCCGGACGCTCCTGAATGAGCTGGCGAATCTGCTCCACTGTCACCTGAGGTCTAGACTGTTGCTCCGTTACGATCTGTCGTATTTGTTCTATCGTCCCTTCAAACTGATTCATCCTCTGTTCTATCGTTTCCACTCGATTTTCCATGATACCACGCGTAACAACCATCCACAAAGTAAGCGAAACAAAGGCTCTAGATACCAAATTGATAGAATCAATTTAGTATCTAACAGAGAAATGTTGAAGATAGTACAAAGAAAATGGTAGAAGTACTGACTGTATTAAGAAATAGGCTAGAGTTCAAATGGGATCTAGCAGATTCAGTACAATAAAATGCATAAGCAGCAAAGCAAGAAGAAAACTAGTAGAGACACTTTGAGAGGCCTTATCTCTCCTAGGAATCAGATCTATTCAATTCTTCCGTACCCCACAAATGATTGAGACTCAATCATTTATGGAATTATTCCTATAGCCTATTACCACTCAGCTGCTGCCAGCTGTCCCCTCCCACGTGCTTCTGCTAACAGAATTTGTCCTATTCTCTCTCTTTCTCTTTCCTACGTTTCCTCACATATTGCTTCCCATATCTACCACTCAACTCAAATCCTACTAATAGAAAATAGTAACATACCAATAATTACTCACCTGAAAATTACAAGAATCAGTAAGGATGATTGGAAGGCTGTGGCAGCATGTTAAAAATTTGGCATGATACCAGGAATATAAACAAAAATATGAGGGTTTCAAACAGGGGATGGAGGGATGTTGATGAGTCCAGAAATAAGATCGTCACTTCTTGCAACGTCATATTCTATGACTTGCGATTTCCATTCCACTATACGAAGATCTTCAGTTCTTGCAAAGTTATATTCTATGACTTGCGATTTCCATTCCAAAATACGGCAACGGCTAACACGTCACCTATTCATAACCTCCTATCTACCTTCGCGGGCCATTCATATTGGAATCAGTTTCTCCTTCACCTGAATCTAGAAGGTCAATCGGCAAATACTTCTCAGCTTATCTCCAATCCATGACTATATGTGCTAGTCATCCACTGCAAACCCTCTTTCAAAATTATTGTCCTATCAGCACATTTCCTCCCTTCACCTCAAATACACTCTCCCTTTCCACTGAGATTGAACCCTGTTTGTATGCAGAGGCCAGTAAACTTTGCAGCTGGAAGAAGGCTATGCAATGCGAGTTAGATGCACTTATGGGCAATGAGACTAAGTTTTGTTGATTCGCCTCCTGGTATTGGTTACAAATTGGTTTACAAAATCAAATGCTTTATTCATCCTTCTATTGAAAGATTTAAATCTCATTTAGTAGCCAAGGAATACAACAACTAAGTAGAGGGATTGGATTTGTTAGACACTTCCTTTACTGAATTCCATCTAGCAATTTATTCACAATATAGTACTACAACCAATATTATTCTCAACAATTTATTTAATCTAGCAATATATTACAACATCTAAAAAACATCTACTACATTTATTCCATCTAAATTTGAAATCAGCTTTAGCTTCTCCTCAATGTTTTATGAGGCTTCCCTAAGCAGTTACTGTTGTCTCCTTTGCAAGGTTTTCGGTGTAAACCACTTCTGATTTTACATCAGCCTCCCATAGATCAGGCACTGCTTCAGGAAGGTTATGGATGCTTTCTAATAGATAATCCGCACCTTGAACTTTTTGCGATGTACCGACCTGGATGTTGCAATCAATAAGTAGTTCGTATAAGTTGTGACTCGTTAAAAGGCATCATATGATAGTTAGTAGTTGTGTTGTTAAATAGAAGTTATAGCGATATATCGTATCCGAATATGAATAGATTACTATTATTCACGATATGTTATGTAGTACAAAATGTTGTCAATTAGTGGCACTATAGCAGAATTTTTCCAATGATTGACAACATTGGTTACTAGAATCAATGTCTATTTTTAGTTTCTACCACAAACCAAAAATTTCCAATGATTTACCAGCACAGTGTCAAGTCCCAAACGTTTTCCAGCTTGAATGTTGCGGACACTGTCTTCAAAGAACAACTGAAATGACATAGAACAAATGAAAAAAAAAAACAAGCAAATAAAATTAAAATCTAGCAAAGTTAGATCATAAAGTCTGATTTTCTTACAGTTTTATGTGGGTTAATGTTGGCTATGTTGAGAGCCAATTCAATGGCTTTTTCTGACGGTTTGCAAACAACTGGTGTCTTTGGCAGGTTTCCACTGGGATTTTCCTGAGCAAAATGGCTTATGATGTCAAAGATCTGAGAGTTTCTTGTTCTATTACTAGTTGTTGGCTTAGTAGCACTTGTTGAGCCTGCAAACTCAATGTCATCTTCGTCATCAGTGACACAGCTCTTGTTGATTGGGTTAAGGGTCTCGAAGCATATAATTCCTTCAAAGCAGTCTTCTAATCCAAGTATGTTTAGTGTCTTAAGAGCATGAACTTTGTCTGCATTTGTGAAAATCTATTGACAAAAACAAGAGAAACAATAGTAATAGTCAGATTATATTATACACCATCTTCTGTGATCTTATTCTACAAGTAAAAGGTCGTTTTGGTCCTTTCGATTATAAGCAACTTACAAGTTTCCTATAGGGCAGGCTCTTCAACATGTTTCTCAGAACCGGGTCCGGCTTTAGGTTCTCATAAGGTAATCTCCCATGAATAAAACTGCAAGATAAAAATTCAATAATCATTTAAACCACTTAAAAAACACACACATGGGTTAAACATAATAACCCTTTAGCAGTTTGAGAGTTACATGATAAAATGAAATGTACCTGTGATATTCATCATAGTCAAATTCATATCCAATTGCCTGAATGGAAATGAAACAATAAACAGGTTATCAGCATATTCAAAATTTTCTAAGTGAAAACTTCATTAAACATGATAAGATAAGGACACTAGGTAATCATACCCTTAAACCAGATAGAGTTGTTCCATAGTTCTTATAAAGAAGGTTGCACAAGTCATCAGTTTTACTCGGTTCTATGCCAAGCTTTTCAACCATGTAGGCTGAGATCAATGTACCATTCATGTTAAAACACATTAATAATAATGAGAATAATGTGAAACAAGACACAATTATTATGCAGAGTTGCTTACCTTTAAGGTTTATCAGAATTGCATTTGCAAGACCAGAACTGAGTGGATACAAAGTGTCATCTAAATCTGCAGAGCAGTATCATATGGTTATATATAGGGAAAATACACTTTTTTGTCCCTTAACTTTGCCTCGGGGTCTATTGTGGTCCTTTATCTTTTAAAAATGGCAAAACAATCCCTTAAGTCTTGAAAATGGAGCACTTGAGTCCTTTCCATCTGTTTCCTTGAAACAGACGTTTGTGAATGACGACGTGGCTGATGACATGGCTGTTCTTCTTTCTTTTTCCTTTCTTCTTTTTTCGTCTGTTTCCTCAATCGCTTTCTCAGACAGAAACAGACGGAAAAAGGACTCGAGCGATTGAGGAAACAGACGGAAAAAGAAGAAAGGAAAAAAGAAGAAGAACAACCATGTCATCTGCCATGTCATCATTCACAAACGTCCGTTTGGAGGAAACAAACAGAAAGGACTCAAGTGCTCAGTTTTTAAAACTTAAAGGATTGTTTTGTACTTTTTATTAGATAAGGGATCACAATTGACTCCGAGACAAAGGGACGAAATATATATATTTGAAAATAACATAAATGAATATGAAAAATTCCAATTTGGTATTTGAAAATGTTAAATATTTCAATACTTACCAAAAAGGAGGCAATCATATTTTTGGTTTTTTGCAAAGTGGTCCTCGTGCTCCATTTCCCTAAAACCTTATACATAGAACACACAACAAAGTGAAAAACTGAAAATTGCACAACAAAGTGAATTCATCTTGTTTTTTAATTTAGCGATGTATCTCAATGTTACGGCCGTAATAACAATATTGGACAATTTTCAAAACTTGTTCATGATAAATTGATAATCATGGTTTAATATGTAATATACCTCAATTATTATCAAGCCAATGCTGATTGAAAATCAAATGAAGGAGAAAATATTTATAAAAAAAAACCATGCATGAGAAATATAGCTGAAACCATTAACTTACCAGAATGGTTGATGATTGGTAAGGGAAGAGAAGAAGAGATGCAAGATGATGTTTGCATGGTTGTTCTTGAGTATACAATATGCAAGTAATTTCTTTTGAAGTATTTGTCTATGATCAACAATGAAACTCAACTATTATATAACAATTGTAAAGTTCCCTTTAAGAAAGCAGATTGTTATTTTAGTATTAATTAAAGTGTTTTTTTTTCTCCATGTATATATGGAAACCAAATCTGTTTTTCTTAAATTCCAATAAATTATAATCTATTTTTCTTTTATTCAAAAAAAGAAAATAATTTAATTAAAAGCAGAATATGCCATTTGTATTAGCAAAAATTGGATTAGTTATCTATTGCCACCTCACACAAATGGCAACTCTTCTATTTTTGGTAAGAAAACCATTGACAACCTATGAATATAGACATAATAACGTTGTAAATTAGGATTATACTATGTATATTCCATTCCATAATAGAACTTGACTGCAAATTCACTTCCATAATAGAATCATTAATGACATGTATATCCCTTACCTTTCATAAAATTTTGGATAATGTCTCATTTTTTTTTTGGATAATTAAAATTACTATAATAAAGTTTTGACTCAACATTTTTTTTATAAAAAAAATTATATACATTGTTTATACTGGAAGATTATATATGCATTGTTTTTGCATTTACATACATTATTAATGTAAATACATGCATTTGTTCGGAGTATGTGCCCTTATATTTTAGCTTTAAAATATTTATTTATTTATTGTATTATTAAACATATATATATATATATTTTAAAATATTATAAGTTTTTTAAATTTGTTTTAAATAAATTAAAAAAATTAATTTTGACATTATATAACATAAATATATATCATTGAAGATCAACTTAGTCAAAATCATTTTTTTTTTCAAAAACATATATTTGAAAAAAATTATAAAAATTATTTAATATAGCTTTAAACTTTAGTGAGTTTTGAAATTGTAATATCTAAATAAAAGTTATACTAAAATGATGAAATATATAAAATAAAATTTTAAAAATAATTATTTAAACTAATTTTTTATTTGAAGCCTTTTTAAAAAGTATTATAAGATATTTTCACAAAAATAAGTCACACTATAATGTGATAATATTTTATTAAATATAAATATCATAAAATATATTTTTGGATTAAAAAATTTATATTATATAAATTATTCTTATAAAATTTTAGTAAAATTTAAAACCAGTTAATATATTATTGAAATAAATAAAAGATAACAACGTCAATAAAAATAAATAATGGTATCTACATGTTCACGGGTGAAGGTTGAAGGGTAGACTCTCCCACTTACATGACATGCATTTGGTCCAAAGCTATGATAGACTATCCCACTCTATGAGATGCATTTGGTCCAAAGCCATGATAATTACACATTCTTCATAAATATATGTCACCTCATCTTATTATCCATGGTGAATTTCTCTCATTTTTCCATTTACTTGAAATTTAACTATAGGAAAAAAGGACATTTATAAAATCAAGATGTTTAACCTTTAAAAAGAGGTAAATGTCTTATGTTAATGATAATGAGCAATGATTATACACACAATTAGGACGTGTTAGTTGGCTTAATCGGAAATATCAACCATATGTTTTTTGTGAGGTATGTCAAAAATAGAAACATGTTAAAATTTATTTAGACTATTAAAGCCTCTACACTAAAATTTATTTAGACTATTAAAGCCTATACAAACTTATTTGTGTTTGGACCAGCGAAAACTACATCAATTAATATTAAAAAGTATATATTAGTTATTGTTGATGATTATAACAGATGAATATGGTAAAATTTATAAGACACGGTGATGGATCTCATTATGTGTTTTTAGTATTATATAAACAAGTGTAAGTTGCAAAAGACTTGAAAATTATAACCTTTAGAAGTGATC